GGGCCAAATCCGTGTTGGTGGAGAGGACGTCCTGCTTGATGAGCTCTGCGGCGATGTGCTTGTTGAAAGGGATGAACGACTGGTCATTCTGGAGCGTAGCTCTGAAGGTCCGACCTCGTCCGGCATCCATGCAATGAGAGGTATACTTGACCAATACATCACGCGCAGTGAGATCAATGCGCGACACCGACGCAAGCAATGCAGCACGCCACTCTCTACAAGATGTTGCATCTGTTGGCAACTTGGTGATTGAGATGTTTCTCAAATGCTTGATTTTGTACACGTTGTCTTCGGTTTCACCGTCAAGCAACCAAGATTCAGGAGGGTTGCCTGCCGGCATTCTTGAGCCTTCTTCGGATGAACCATCCGAGCTCTCTGATCCTCCACCAGACTCCGATGACTCCTTCTTGCGAGGTGTCGCAATGGAGATGTTTGGAGGGTGACTTGATGATGATACACCTGGAGGTGCTTCTGGAATAGTGCCGATGTACCCCCCCTGGTGGGTAAGCCGGTCCCATTGAAGCTCTTGGGAACGATGGCATGGCCGGAACGGCCCGTTGAAATCCTACACCAGGAACAGGAGCACTCCCTGACTCTGAAACAGCCTTTGGGGTCGACATTCCATAGACCAACCTGGGATCAACACCAAGATGATGAACATGTGAACCATCATGCAATGCACCACACGGCATGCCATACGGTCCCGGACCGCCAGGGGCTCGAGGAAGAGGAACTTCTGCATGGGATGGTCCTTCATGCGACGCAATGTTCCTTTGCATGTTGACTGGCTCCCTGATGGTCGCGACACTAGAGGGTCGCGTAGGCACTGGGTACATATACCTTTCATGAGAAGATGGTTCAAAAGGGTCCGTACCATTCTCGGGCTCTTCAAGACTACTTTTGCAGTTCCAACACCAACCACGACCAACGACGTTTTGATTCCCACACACATGGCAGTAAACAACATTCAATGGCGAGGCTGAAGCAACCGATGGGGCTCTTCCGGCTTCCGACGGACACGCATCAAAGTAGCCTGCAACAGGCGAAGCTCGGAGTGCTTCGTTCTCTCGTGCAAGGTCTTGACACCTTGCTTCTGCTGCAGCTGTCACGCGTTGTATCTCGCGTTGTGCTTGTTCTGCTATCTGCTGATGCTTGAGTATTTCTGCTTGTGTCTCTGTTGTGATCTGGTTGATTCTGCTGTGTGCTTGTTGTGCCATGCTGGCTTCCTGTTGTTGTATGTGTTGGTTCATCTGTTGATGTTCAAGGCTCAACTGTAGTGCTGCATTTTGCTGCTCAAGTTGATGTTGTTGTCGTTCCTGCTGTATCACCTGTTCTGCATGGTTCAACTGCGACTGAACGTAACCCTGAACAATTCTTTCAAGTGTCTCGGGATCGATGTTGTGCTGGTTGAGTACTTGTAGATGGTTGAGGGTTCTCTGATCATAAACATGCACCCCAGGAACAGTCGATGGATCACCTTGTACCCCAGAAGGTTGGGAAGGTTCGGAACTCTGAGCTCGTGTACGACTCACTGCAACCTTTGTGTTTCCCTTGGCCGGCACGCTCACTTGGAGCCCGGTTCCTCCACCAGTTCCCAACTCACCCTCCATCCTCGCAAGCCCAGTCTCCGGAGAAATGGATGAACTCGAGGTATCGTAGGAGCCTTCAGGACCGATGACACGAAAGGGTGTTGCAGGAAGCGACCGTTTTGACATCGACTATCCGGTGCAATGCAACGACTCTCAACTCAATCTGTCAACTCAATCTCAACACACTCAAATCTCGACCCGACTCTGTTGAAGGACTCTCAACTAACTACAAATCGTTTGTTCACAAATGCTCAAAACCAACAACCAACACTGTCTCGACACACTGAGCAGCACCACCTCCTCTTTTCACTGCCGGCACGCGACGTTTGTCGCGGAGTTTATTGCCACGCGCTGAAAGCTGCGATTTTTGGCAGTGGGACGCGTAGAGACGCAGTCGACGAGTCGCGTCCGTCGCGTGGATACGCGAATCAGACGCGAAGGCAGCACAAGCTTCGGCCACTGACACTAACCAATGTTCAACTACCAACCAATGGATCGTCCTCAACACAACCAATGTCTGACCACACAAGATCAATGTTGTAGCAACGGCCTCAACCCGACTCGTAGCCTTAGCAGACAGGTTTATTGACCAATGTCTCCAACTTCAACAGCAATGTATCACCAGCCTCAACCCAACACGTAGCTCTTGCAGAAGGGTTTATCGACCACTGACGCAATGCCCACTCTCGACCAATGTACAAGCACACTGGTCGTCTCCTTCTCGTCTCACCTGGTTCCGAAGATCCTGCCCAGCTCTCTGGCGGTGGGCAGCTCACTGGTCCTCGGAAACGTCCTGAGCGTTCTCTCAAGTGGGACCAAGGCCTCACTCGGATACAATGCAGCACGAATGCAGTGGGTCTTGTGTCCGATCGGCACGTTCTGCTGGAGGGTGCGCACGTCGTTCAGCAGTGACCCTTGGTCGTCAACGTATACGATCGGGCCAAACTGCGCGACCAACTTCGCTTTGCTTCCAACGTGTCCTGTAATCGATGCCCCCTGGTCGGTGTCTGTGGAAAACTTGGTTCGCGTTATCGCGAAAATGTCAAAAGACCAACCAAGTCGACGCTCAAACTCAGCGACACCAGCTGCAACGCCTTCCTGAGTGGGCTTATTTGAGGCGAAACTGAGGATGCCGATGGAGAACCCTTTTTCCTTGACCGTCCTCAATGTCTGCACGGTTGCCTCTGCCACCGGAGGGTCGTTGTTCGGAAAGCTGAGGGTTTTGTGGAAGTCCAGCAGCACGAGTGGTTTGTCTTGCCAATTCGGCGGCGCACCACGTGGCTCGGGAGGTCGAGACGATGGAGAAGGTGCCGTTTGCTCTGGCTGAGCTGGTCTCTCCTTTGGTCTCGGCGCGAGAACCACTGGTCGGACCTCTTCAGTAAGACGAGGTTTCGACGCTGCACGAGTCAACGGCACAGGAGGAGTTCTCGGCGCCGGAGGTGGAGTCGGCAAGCTTTCAATCTCACGCTTCCTGGCAGCTTCCGTCTGCTCAACTTCCTCCTTTGTAGGAACAGGAGGCGGAACCGGAAGTTCCTCAAGAGCTCGCTTCAAGCCCGATCCAGAAGAGCCTTCACCTTCGCGATGACGCGAAGGCGTGTCACGACCAATGGCACGCTTCAATGCACCAACTGCTGACTGCTCACGCACAATGTCTCCAGTCTCACTCGACTCCTTTCGTACTTTGGCCTTAGCCGATGTTGCGGTTGGCGGAGGTTTGACACGTTCTTCAACTGGCGGTTTCTCCTCAAACTGTTCCTCGCTCACTGACGGCGAAGGCTTGCTTGTAGACGGCCTGGGGGCCTTCGAGCGAAGTTCACGGGCTCGTTCACGAAGGGTATCCGGTTCTGCCGACACCGAATGCTCAGTGGCCTCCTCTGTTGCCTGCCTCGCGATCGAGTCCTCGGTCGCTGAAAAATCGACGGCCGACGCACCCTCAGGAGCAGGTTCAACGGCCTCAGCAAGGCACTCTCTTGGCTCACCTGTCACGGTATCGACGGATTCTCCCTCAAGCTCAACCTCCTCTTCGGGGATGTCGTCGTCAGCCGTCTCCTCCTCGGGCTCGGGGCTTTCAGGAACCCAAACCCACAACTGCCGCCACTCTCCGCGAGCTCGTGATCGCGATCTCTCGTCCCGACCACGCTCAACGTACTCGCTCTCCTCTTCTGTCTCGCTCGGTGGCCTCGGCGGTGCACGCCGGGTTTCCCACGTTTCCGTAACGTGGGGCGGCGGATGCCGCGGCTGACGCGGGGACCTGGCACGATAGACCTCTCGATGCCTCGGCCAGTCCCTGCTGTCGCGACTTTCGTCGCGAGCTCGACCACGCCCACGAGCAACTCGTCTGTACTCGACACCGCGATCTCGCTGCTGATCTCGATCCGCGCCCCTTCCACGGTCTTCTGTCGGGAGACCACGCTCCCTCCTCGACTGCTGACTTGGCCTGTTCGGATCACCTCCACGGGGACCCCGTCTCCGACGTGAGCGTTCACGCTCACGTTCACGAGGTGGCATGGATCGCGCTCGGAAGCGCGGGGCAACAAGTGTTCGAAAGAAGTTTCAACACAATGCCACCGTTTCTCTTGACAAGCTTGTCTTGATGTTTGTGTATGGTCTCGTTTCTTCACGTCCTCGTAGCTCTTGCGGCTGATAACCAGATAAGTTCGAGAACCTTGGTCTATACGTAGTAGGCCGACACAATCGCGATCGAATCCTTTCGGTCGCGGCACGGTCTGTTTTCCAAAGTCCTTGAGCCAAATCAGGTTGGCGTCCAGTGACACAGTGCAAACGGCAAAGCCGATTACCGATGATGCAAGTCTTTACATGACAATTCCAGTCTTGGATAAGTGTTCCTAGACATCAACTATACATGACGTGTCATCTATACATGAAGTGTGCAACCTCACTCAAAGCTCAGTTCTTCTTGGGGACGTTTCTAGCTGAGGGATTTCTTCTTATGTGTATATATATATATAGCAACATGTCATGTTCTACAAATTGCAAGAGATGCATCCTCATGTTGGTCTCATGCGCATTGTATCCCATGCACGTTTCTCTCAAAAATAAAGGGGCCCCAGCATATTGGATACTTCCATACGCCAGGGCCTCTACCAAGTCTCCTCCGAAAGAAAATGGTACTGCTTGGGTGCATCCTCAGACGAGACGCCCACTTCAACCGAAGGGCCCCTGCCCTGCCTGCTTACAAAACCATCGGTCGTGTCGTTGGCTGAGCTACCTTCTTTGGGGCCAAAAACAAAGAACGGCCTTGCCTTGAGCTTGGAGTCAGTTCAAACTCCCACAAAAGCTGATTCCCGGGGTGCGAGCTCTCAAAACTCACCCCTAACAGTCGAAGTTGGAACCAAAACATCCTGTAGCTGCCGACCTCGACCGTTCTTGGCCCGAAAACCTCCGAGGCGCCCCTTTCGCGCCGATCGCGCGGAAGGTGGCCGTGTTGAGCAACTGCCCAAGGCCCACCATCGCCAGCCCCGGGCCTCGTTCGATCGCGCAGGGGCTGACGCTCCGGCGTCCCATGCGTCCAATCGACGCTCCGTTTTGGCCGACCCGTTTTGGTCCGTTGTTCTTGTTAAGGATCTTCTTAGGCGGATGTGTGTCTGTGTGTTTTGTCGGACATTTTTCTTGGAACATCCTTGCATGGAATGGAATGGAACTACCGTCTACTGCACCTGGCCCAAGACTGCCTCCCCTCCCAATGATAAGACCAAAAGCAGGCCGTATGGCCCCAGCGTTTGCCATTGCAAATGAACGTTCCATGATCTAAATCTTTGGACGCCTTCACCAATGACTTGAGTCTATACTAGGAGACCCCTACCCATGAGTTTCTGTTGACTACTGCTCTTCCTGACAGGGTCTACGTCTTTGGGGTCTCCCTCCTCTGCGGCAGCAGCTCAGTGATTTTCCTGGAGGATGATTCTTCCTATAAGCGACGCTCCTCTTAAAAAGCCGGTGCCGGGTGCGTCATGTGACTCTCTAAGCGATCCTGTTTTGAGATCTTCAGTCACATCCTTTTTGGGTGCCTAACCGTCATGTTTGACGATTCAAGCAGCCAGCCTCCTGCAATCCTGGTTGGCAAAATGACCTGTTCCAACAAAAACAATGACCCATATGATGCAATAGATACCAGGAAATCCACAGGTCGTTGTATTTTAAGACATGCAATTATACACTGTGTATGTATGCCTTGGGACTCCAACAACCATTGTTTTAATAACCTTTACCAAACAACTGTGTTGTTTACATTTAGGATTTACTCTACAAAACCGGGTCAACCTTTCTTTGAATGGTCTTGGAAGGGCTAGGGTATGTGTACGATGTACAATGATATGTATATATTATATATATATACACAGTATACATACATATGGCCGACGGCTACGCATCACTGTGAATCAGCTCTTGTGGGCTGCACTTTGACTCGGGACCGCCTCAGTGCCGCTGGTTGGGTCCCTTCGGCTGACTGTCGCTTTTGTGGAAAAGCAAAGGAATCCTTGCCACACCTCGTATTTGACTGTGCTGAGTATCATAAACTCACCTCCAAGCCGGTGTTGCATGACTTAGGAGCTAATTTTGCCCTACTTGGCATAGTTGAACATCCGTTTCGCTTGTCGCAATTCCGCCTTCAATCTGAGGACGCCTGCATTGGTGATGCGGTGCAGTTTGATGCCTCCTTGCCCGTTCTCCAACTGTGGACTGACGGCTCAGTATTGTGGCAGCCAAATTTTTGGACCACTACCGCTGCCTATGCAGTCGTTGATATTGATGGCAACATTGTGTCGACTGGGCGTGTGCGTCGTTGGCTTTTATCCAGCTACGTGGCTGAGTTGTGGGCCTTGTGGATGGCGTTGTCGAGATCTGCCGCTCCAGTCCACATCTTCTGTGACAACAAAACAGTCGTCAACAATGCCAATTTCTTGCTTCGTACTGGCCACATCAAGTTGGGGTGGAAGTGTTTGGATTGGTGGACAGCGTGCCAGCAACTTGTGGCATCACGTCGGCAGGACCATGAACAACCGCTACAGGTCACTTGGATTCCAGCTCATTTGGGTGACGACATCCCAAACTTCCAACTCGACCCGATCCGCATTGCCGCTCAAGGTTCCTCCGTTTTGCACGTGATGCGCAACAGAGACGCTGATCGCGCTGCCAAGGACACCGCTCTGCGCATTGCGCCCATCTATCCTCACATGGCAGAAGTGGTTAAAGCCGCCACGGTTCTCCATCAGGAATGGCTTACCCGTCTGCACATACACCTGGATACACTGCAACCTGGTGGCGACGGGTTGGGCACGTCTGACCAGGGGTTGTGCACAGGAAACTCCATCACCATTGATGAGGCGCGTGCAATGTTTCCTCAGTGGGAGTGGTGCCCAATCAAAGCACAATTTCCTTGGAAGCCAAAAATTCCCATGAAGGTGGCAGTCCCTGCCTCATGGAAGTATTCGCACAATGATTGGAACGTCATCTGCGATTTTGCAAGGCAACTCCGATGGCAGCATCATGTACAGAAGGCATTTTCCTTTTGTGAGTTGGCAATTCTTTTTCACAGACAAGGGCGAAGATTTGATGCTGACTACCAGACGTTGTTGATACATGATGTCACATGTCGGCTTAGACAGGCCTTTCAATTGCTGCTCAAACTCGATGATGTTCAGTTGTGCCCCGGATCTTTCTCGGCGACTTACGTTAAGTCAGCTGGTCGAGTTTTACCGCAGAGTGCCATTGCTAACGCAATTCCACTGGTCGAAGACCATGTCCTTCTTTACTTAGCACAGACACTTTGTGCCGGCTGTGGACGCTCTATCGCGTCTTGGCGGACCACGTTTCTTGAGTTCTAGAGGCTCTCCTTGAGCCTTGTATAGTTTGGGGTCCTTTGCACATGCGGACCAGAGTGTCCGTTGTGCCATCGTCGCGGATCTGACCGACCGATGCGTGGGTGATACACAGTATACATACATATGATACCCCCACCAAAAGAATGGGGTCTACCTACCTTTTGTGTGTTTTTGTTTCAAGAGTTCTTACAAAAACGAAAAGAACATGTTGGATTCCAATTGTCCTTCTTTAGAGATCGAGTCCTTCACAGAATTTTCTCCTTTTCTAAAGGAGCCCCAATGCATAGGCTCTTCATCTATACATAAGGATGATAAATACTGTATCACTTTGGGAAACAAACGTAGTCCCACTGTCTTTTCAAGCCTTTGTGTTATGTCCGTCTCCAAGGCTCTCTCCGTTACCAGGGCCTTTGCCGTGAGAAAAGCAGCTTGTGCATACTGTAAATGAGACATTTCATATTTGAGACATTTGAGAGATTCGAACATATGCCACCATGCTGCGCCTACCCACTGAGTAGAACTGAAAAAAATGAGCATGTGTAACGATTCTGCACCTTAAGCTTACAATCACTGCACATGCTCATCATATGCTCGATTCTTTTGAGGGAGCTGTTTTGCTTGTTGTGCTTTTGTTGAGCTTCTGGCATTGCCTGCACACGTGATCTTAAATGAAAGAGATTGTTTTAAACAATATATTGCATCCCTTGATATTCGTTGCCAAGCCAGATTGAAGGGACCCACTGACCCACACCTTTGAAACACACTGCAAATAACATCAATCAACAATGGTTCTTAAAACAGGTATATAGACTTGTTTGGGGAGGTACAATACAATATTGTGCGTAACTTCTGAAATCACACAGTATACATATGCAAGGATAATGTTCATGATCAAGGACTATAGACTATAAATGTGAGATTGATCTCAACGGTACAAAGAACCGCAATCATGGTGTCCTGACAAATCATGATACATCACCGCAATTAGAAACAAAAAAAACAAAAAAAAAAACATGGTTCAAAAACCAAGTCACTCCCGTCTTCACATAGAACCGCAAGTCACTCGTCTTTAACAAAGATATTCCAATCTCCGTGGATATCTCATCTTGTCACTCTTCGTCACTGGTCAGGTTTGCAGGTGCCATCTCGCGGCAACGCTCGCTCACGCCGTCAGCTCCTTGCTCTTCTTGGCCACAAAGTTGTAAGCCTCCGGACGCACCGCTACCGATACGACGTTTGCTGGGGTGTGATGAGCGATGCTCAAATGGTGAGAGAAAGCCAGCCTCCCCTTTCCATTCTAAACCAACCAGGGGGTGGCCGACCCAAACCATATGATTCATATACTGTATATATATAACTATATTATATATTATACAGTTACACATATTTATACAATTATATATATAATATTACACAATATTGAGATGTGTCCATACATGTCAGGGTCAAGACAAAGACAGCTAGACCATCGCAAACCCAGTGGATGTGCACCTGCAGGTTTCCGCAGCTGACCAGTTGTGAGCCCTGAACAGGTGCTCTCTACTTCGTCAAAATAATTTCTCAAGGAATATATAATCATCATATGAGGTGCGGGCAAAAATTATCTATTCATGCAATATGCCATATGCCAAACTGGGTCGTCCCCTATCGGTTAATCATTTTGTCGGTTGCTCATATGTGGCTCAGCAAAATGAGACCTTGTGAGCCACCTCCGATCTCACCATCATCCCCGAATCACCTCATAAGATCGGAGTCTTTGTCTCCTTGGAATTAATTTGGACCTTTCTTCCCCACCCTCCGAGGGGTCGCCCGGGTGCGAGCCCACCTACCTTGAGGCCGTATTCGCCACCCTTCGTGCCGAAGTCATTCAGTGTGGTCACGTACTCTGCAAACTGCTTCGTGGACCTGAAAAAACATCGAGGGTCGCCTTGGAAGTCAAGAGTGTCATAGAGTGTTCTAAGAGTTCGTGACTTAAGGACTTCAGATCCTTCACCTAAAGTCCAATGGACTGAATGTCATAGCCGGGTCTTCAACGAGAACCTGTCGTCTGGTCTGGCGTGCAAGTCGCAAATGCATTGCTATATTGCTGGCATTTCGGAACCCCAAGTTAGCACACCATCTCGGCCGGAAGATCTTCCGTCAAGTTCGACCCAGTGGCTCCGTCTTCTAGTAGCGTCCTTGCTAGTAGTAACAAGGGCATTACTACTAGTAGCATTCTTGTTCCGTTCGTAGCATCCTTGCTAGAGGTAAGGCCAGGAGCCCGGTTCGTAGCGTCCTTGCTCGACCCAGTGGCTCCGTCTTCTCCACAAATTTCTTGATGCCACCAGTCGAGAGGCCCCAGCCTGGAATGAAAACCGAGTGTCCGCCTGGATCCGCCTGGATCCGCCTGGAGTGCGAAGAGGTCTTTGATCATGATTTACTGCCGAGGAGAAATACGAGTTTCGTTGAAGGGATTCTTAGATTGAAACTATATGAAACTATAATGCTGATCAGAATACAGCTTCGGGTTCACAACTGTGTCTGCCCAAAGAATGGGATGATCCCATCTTTTAATGAAATTCTGTCGCCCTGGCCCACGTACACCCTCGCGACAGACAGGATATATAGCTAGCTAGGCCATTCCCTGAGACCAAGCCGAAAAC